TGATCAAACACGACTATTTTAGCCAAATAGCTTAGTCTCCACCGCGTATTTACTATATCTAATCTGTGATACCATGTCCATCACTTCCTTCGTCCTAGTCTCTTGTGGCTAACCCACAAATGTCGTGGTTCTACTTATTTTGATTAGGCTTACTGAGGACGTCTCTTCATGGCTTCTGATTGTTCCTTTCTCATCCCCCTGTGATCTGTTAAAATTAAGAATATTTCCTTGATCTAGTCGTCTTCTTTTTGCTGATCTTGCCGTTGCCTGGTCTCCTCCGAGTTTGTTTAGGCAATATGAAAAGTTTTCGCTGATCCTGCCTTCTTCAAGTCTTCTGTTCATTAGATTTCTCTCGGTCAGTATTTCGATGGCCTCTCGGATCTTGCGTTTTCTCGTATTTTCACCACATACTACCAACCTTTCGGTCGATTTCGTAACCTGTTCGCGCAATGTGTTCCGCTATTTCGGATCTTTTCGTATCTATGTTCCTTCGGAGTCTTTGATGTTACTAGATTCGTAGGCAGATTTTTCTTCCTGTTTCACCTATTTACTTATGCTCACAGTTTTCGCATTTGATGCGATAAACTCCCGGGCAATCAAATTTGTCCGTCTTCTCATGTTGCGTCGGAATACTTATGAAAAGTGTTTTCTTCTCCTTTGTTATCACCCTGATATTCCATTTCCTTAGTAACGGTCGCAATTGTTGGCTCAGTTCTGATGAGGGCAGACAAATCCACTTCTGATCGCTCTCCTAATTCCTGATCTGATTTTCATAAAATTAAGGTTGAACTCGACCCTTTATAAGCTCTACATTTTTTTCTATAAATATTCTGAGATATCCGTTACTAAGGCAAGTCCGTTTCAGTTTATCCAACTCCTCGTCCCAGAACTCAGTGTCTGTTAGACATAACCTTCTGATGATCAAACTCCTCGGTATTTTGATCTTAAGTCTGTAGTTATGGCAAGACAGAAAATTAAGGATTATTCCCGTATACGAATTCTTTTTGTATAGTCTCCTCATGAGTGTCCCCTTGGAGCGTATTACTTCGATATCCAGAAAGGATAGCCGTTCATCCTCCTCCACCGCCATTGTGAATTTGATTCTTTCATTAAGTTGGTTAATAAAATTTATGAATTCATTTAGATTTTCCTTACCATCTGACCAAAGTGCAAAGTAGTTCTTTTTTCAATGCATCAACTGCTACAGACGAAGAAAGGCCTAAGTTGTTAAACCTATCTTCAATCTCTCTTGATTCTGAAACTACGGATCTCTTAGAGAAGCGGTTACATTTTTCACCAGGTAATGAAGGAAACATTTTTAGTGATATTCTGGTGGAAGTTGTCAACATAACGGACAAATATCCAGAAGATACAAGGCGGGAGATGAACCTGGAAATAATCCCACGGATCCTGATACATCAAGAACCGATACACAGGAGCAAATTGGCTGGTATTCGGAAAAAATTACAAAATAATGATCAAATAGTTCTTCAGGCGGATAAGAAAGGAGTGACAGTTGAAATTTACAGGAAACAGTACACGGATAAAATGGAAAGTATTCTAAGCGTCCGAAACACTTATCAAAAACTAAGAAATGATCCAACCGCGAAGATCAACGGGACACTGAAGAATATGCTTAAGGAAATGCATACTAATGGGGAAATTGACAGATGGAGTATGAAATGTTTAATCAAAAATGACGCAAGGCCACCGATAGCCTACGGACTACCAAAGATACACAAGGGAGGAAATCCTCTAAGACTAATAGTCAACAATAAGCTTAAAGCTCATTAAAGTAAATGACAGACTCTCGAATACCGTCAAGAAGTCATATGAATTTTCTCAAAGGATTCAGAACATTGGGTTGGTGGGGACGGAACTGTTGGTGAGCTTCGTTGTACAATCCATGTACACAAACATCTTAGGCGAGAAGGCGGTAAGCGCCTTAATGGAGATATTGGAGCGAGAAGAAGACATCCTGGAGGCGGAACGGATACGGAAGGAGTCGTTAACACGACTAATCAACTTGACAGTAAGGACCACATATTTTACATTTAACAGCAGTATCAACGAGCAAATATTTGGACTACCGATGGGATCTCCGCTCTCAGCTCTTTTGGCAAATGTGTACATGGACAAGTTGGAAAGGGAATTCGTGAAGTCACCACTGCAACCAAGAGTGCTTATGCGATAGTTGGATGACTACTTTGCACTTTGGTCACATGGTAATGAAAATCTAAATAAATTTCTCAATTTTATTAACCAACTTGATGAAAGAATCAAATTCACAATGGCGGTGGAGGAGGATGAACGGCTACCTTTTCTGGATATTGAAGTCATACGCTCCAAGGGGACACTCGTGAGGAGACTATACAGAAAGAATTCGTATGCGGGAATAAACCTTAATTTTCTGTCTTGCCATAACTACAGACTAAAGATCAGAATACCGAGGAGTTTGATCATCAGAAGGTTATGTCTAACAGACACTGAGTTCTGGGACGAGGAGTTGGATAAACTGAGTCGGATTTTCTTTAGTAACGGGTACCCTAGATAATTTATTTATTAATAATAATTAGTAATTAATAATTATCTTTCTTTTAACAGCAGGCCTTTCATAATCTGCAAATTTACTAGTTTGAGACCATTCTTTCTTATGTCCAGTTTCTACCATGTGTTAGGTTACTGCTGACCGTTGGTTCCAGCTTCTCTTACAAGCATTTTTGTGCCCCCCTAATCTTTGTCGAATAGGCCCAGCATTTCTCACCAACATAAGGTCGACTACAGGAGCATACAATTGGTGTGCTTAGGTTCAACACAAATATTCCTGTTCAATGAGCTATTCAGGCTCTAGTACAAACTCTGGAGGAGCATTCAGAGATTATAGACGTTTTATGAGCAGATACAAGGACTTGCGATGGAATCTCGCCAAGCTCCCTTTTTGGTGATCAACTTCATGGCCAACTTTGAGCAACCCTATTTGGAATAGACAATACTAACCCCTAAATTGTTGATTAGATACATAGATGAATATTTTGTGATCTGGACTTATGGTAAGGAAAGATTAGATGGTTTCCTAGATTCACTTAGTCATTGTGGAAGTAACACTAGGTACACAGTGAAAATAGATATAAATAGGTCCTTGCCCTTCTTGGATGTTCTGATCATAAGAGAAAAGTGTAAGTTAGGAAGGAATGCTTATTGGAAGCTAACATATGTTGGCTCTTTTCTGCATTTTCTTTCCAACCAGTTACAAAACTATGGTTGGAATTTTGAAGTCAAAGAATATTAGGAGTTTGATACTAGCGGATAGCAAGTTGGAACAGCTAAAATATTTATTTCTGAGACATTATTATCCTTTGGGCCAAATTAGGAATAATATCACTTTACTGATAAATAGATTTTGAGACGGAGATTATTTAATTATAGAGATACAAACTTATAACTTTTCTCATGCCATCTTTCTATAAAGACAGTATAAGTGGGTTGACCTCATTGTCGCAACTTGGTCTCGTTGTCAGGGGGACTATGTGGAACGCACCGAGTCGAAGTCGTCTGCCATAGTAGTTGTCATGATTCCCAGCATCCGACAGTGGGCATCATAGTCGGCATCATCAGTGAGCCTTGCCATTCACCGCACTAAGATACGAACTCGTCAAAAAGGCAAGTGTAGTCAATGCCTCGACAACCGTTCTGCCGAAAACAGTTACACTATCATTCCTCTTTTTATCTGCTCTTTACCCTCTTATCCCACTGCCGCCCTATCACAACTTCTCGCTTGTTTACATTGCCCTTTTGTGGCAAACCGGGTGTGGCCTCATCACACTTGCTATTTTTCCCGACCCATCTCTTTCGATGGGCTTATCC